GTCTGGGGGCCATACTCTTGAGGTTTCTCCAGTCTCCTTTAGGCCAGTAAATCTGGTCCTTTTTTTGTGAGTTAGAATTATGCTCTACATCCTTCTCCAGCTCTGTCCAGAATCCTCTGTTGTGCCTATGATCCATTTTTTAAGGAGATGTGTGTGTTTAAATATTACCATTATCCTGTGCCATGCATTTTTCATGGATTGTTATTTAGTCCTCATCACAACCTTGTGAGGCGGGGATTATTATCTCCATTTTTGAGATGAAAAAACTGAGGCTCAGAGAGTTAAAGTTACTTGCTCAAAGTTTCGCAGCAACTAGTGGTGTTTTAACTGAGATTTGAATCCAGGTCCACCTGACTTTAAAATTCTTACCATGATAAACAATAGAAAACACTGTACAAAAAACAAAACAGAAGAGGATGTTAAAATGTTAATAATGTTTATGTCTGGATGGCAGGATTACTGGTCATTTTAGTTTTCTGCTTTTTACATTTCTACTTTCTGTGATGAATAGGTATTAATTGTGTACTTTAAAGCTTACTAAAAAAATTCAGGCCTGGAGTTTGAGCTTGTCCAGTGACTCCTCCTTGGTAGACTAACTGTACAGACCTGTTGCTGAAGCCACAGCTATTCCTTGAGTCCAGCGATGCTCCCTCTCTTTAAACCTCACTGTGCTCTCCTGGCACCTCCTTCATATTCAGGATGTTTGAGAAGAAAGGTGGACAGCAAGGAGAACAGCCAATTAGTGCCATGCTCAAGGGTCATAGTCCTGCAGCAATTGGGACTTCCCTTTGTGGCCGTAGCTTAGAGCCAGTAGTCACTGTGGCTTGGCTCCATCTCTTTTGCTCCCACAGGCCGTTGAGAAACTGGTCGCTCTTCTCAACACACTGGACAGGTGGATTGATGAGACCCCTCCGGTGGACCAGCCCTCTCGATTTGGAAACAAGGCCTACAGGACCTGGTATGCCAAACTTGACGAGGTGAGGCTGCCACAGGACAGACATGGGGGCTGGGCTGGGAGGATGGTGACTCTGACACTGATGAAGACCTGTGGACCTGTGTTAGTAGTAGGATAGGGAAGAGGTGCGTTGTTTAAAGCAGGGCTTCAAGCTTTCAGGCATAGCAAAATCACTGGGGAGTGTGTGAAAATGGCACTTCCATTCACCAAGATTACAAATGCATTTATGCTTTGCCCCAGTCATCTTTTAGGAATTGTTGCTATAGATACTTCTGTGAATATATGCACTGCTGTCTGCACAAGGCTATTTATTAAGGCAATGGAAAGATTGGAAACATCCCAAGTGTCCATCAGTAAGTGACTAGTGAAATAAATTCTAGTATATTCATACCACAGACTACTATGCAGCTATAAAAAGGAATAAGGAGGCTGTCCAGGGAACTCAGTGGAAAGGGCTCCAGAATTTATTGTTAGGTTAAAAAAAGAGCCAGGTGTAACAATGTACATGGTAAACTACCTTTTTAAGAAAGAGAGAAAAATAAAAATATATGTTTATATTGTTCATGTTTGCATAAAGAAATATCCCTGGAAGGATACACAGGAGGCTAATAAAACTGGGTTCTTTTTGAGGAAAGGGGACAATGGGGTGGATGGAGACAGGGGTAGGAGTGAGACTTTTCAATGCATACTTTTTATAATGTTTTTAGTTTTGAACCTATGAAGGTGTTACCTGTTCAAAACAAACAAACAATAAAATGCAGAATCTCAGGCTCCCTGTAAAGAGCAGAGCCTGTAGCTTTGCAGTGGGCCTGTAGTCCAGGTTATAACCAGGTTTCCAGAGATTCTGATGCCAGGTGTCCATGGATTGAACTTAGAGAAATTCAGCTCCTAATTTCTCTGGTACAGTGCTTCACATGGAGCATAGGGGAGTACCCAGGACCCAGCATAGGTCTGTCCCTGGTGAAGAGCTGCCTAGGGTTGCTACTGTACTCAACGATGGCACACATTTCTTTTTTAAAAAAGGTTTTTATTGAGTTACAACTTACATACAAGAAAGCTGGCAAATCATAGCTGTACAGCTAGATGAGTTTTTGCATATGTTTTTACCCATGCACCCACAACCCATATTAAGCTATAGAACATTCCAGCATTCCAGCAAGGCTATTCATGCCCCCTCTCAGTTGATATCCCCAAACTCTTCTGACTTTTATCAATAGATTGATTTTGCTTGTTTTTGAACTTCGTATAAATGCCTGACTTCTTTTTACAACACTATGTCTGAGATTTGTTCATGTTGTGTGTAGCAGTAGATCTTTTTCACTGCTGCCTAGTATTCCATGTATGAGTATACCACAGTTTAGTTATCCCTTCTACTCTTGATAGACATTTTTGGTTGTGGGTTGTTTACACTTTTTGGCTACTGTGAATAATTCTACTGTGAACATTCTTGTGTATGTCTTTTGGTGGACTTATGTTGTAAACTCTTGCCACCCATGGAATGTGGTGAAGAGAGATGGCCATCTATGGGGATAATAGTACTGATCTCCCAGAGTCTTTATGGGGCCCCAGTGAGTTACCAGATGAATGACTTCTTTTCAGATTCTTCCTGTCTTGCCGCTAGGAGGAAGGGGCAGCAGATGAGAAGCCACCCCAGGGTAGCCTCTCTGTTGTGTAAGAATAAATGCTCTCCCTCTTCTGCCCAGGAGACCCTGCCTTTTCCTTCTGTGGTCCTGTCAGAGCAGGGAGCCAGGCCAGCCTGGCGTGCAGCCTGGGCTCCCAGCAAGATGCTGCCTCCGGGTGCCTGCCCACTGGGATGCTGCCCAATCTGCTACCACCACTTTGTGTCTCTTGTGTTATCAGGAGGCAGAAAACTTGGTGGCCATGGTGGTCCCCACACATCTGGCAGCTGCGGTGCCTGAGGTGGCCGTTTACCTAAAGGAATCTGTGGGGAACTCCACGCGCATCGACTATGGCACAGGTATCTGCCCAGTGTGGGCCTTGCAGCTATTTGGCTTCACTGCTTTCTTTTCTTGGGCTGCTTCCTCTTTGCTCTGGATTGTCTTGGGCCTCTCTGAGCAAGCAAGAGTTTCCAAGCTCTTGCAACCTGTGGGGGCCAACTGGGGGTGGCAGCCAGTGTCTGATGCTGCTCCTGTGGCTCTAGCCTGGTCCACCAGGGGGTGCTGCTGCCATGTGCACGTAGCTTGTATGCACAGTGTTGATTTATCTGTTCTTCATAAAGATGGCCTCTGTGAGCATATCATAACCATCACCAAAATAATAATTTATTGAGCACTTACTGTATCGCAAGGCAGCCACTTAGAGAAGCCACTGGCAGCATTGTGACACACTCTCCCCAAGGCCCCTTGTCTCTTGGCCAGATTCTCTATACTGTTAAACTCTTTGGTTCGATCCAAACTGACTTGGACTTTGAGGAGAAGGAGTGTGTGGGCACCTTAAAAGGGAAGTGTTCTGGAGCTCAGGGGGTGGCCTGTGTAGCCCAGGAGGCTTTGGCCAAGGAGGGTCCCCGCTTTGGTAAGGGCCTGCCTTACCTTTCCACCCTGAAGTGGGCAAATACAAGAGCTTCTGCTTTCTCAGGGCCGTCAAGAGGGAGCCCAGGCCACAGAGGCAGGCACAGGGGAAGGACCGCTTGGACCTGAATTCTGGATAAGTTTTGTCCTCTGCTCCCCCTGCTGCTGGGGAAGAGGTTTAGCAAATGTTTTGAGACCTTCAGGGATTGTGTTTTTTGACTAAGACCAACAGGGAAAGATCCCAGGGGAAAGACAAGCCAGGTCAACAGCTTGTGGGTTTTCTTAAACACGTTCTCAGGTACGTAAGAGTATCTGAGTGACGGTTGCTTGGACCCTGGCTGGTCATAACCAAACCTGCTGCAGGTGAAAGTAACTGAGGTTACAGCTTTCCAGGCCTTGGAGGGGCCTTCATTCTGCAGAACAGGATAGGAAGTCACTGAAATATTCTCTGCTTACCTCCCTCCAAATACGTTTTTTAGATACTATGAACCATGGAATTCAGTCCAAAGTTTCTTTAGGGCTGATTGTTCCTATTGGATATAAGTGGGATAGGAAATGAGAGTGCCTTCTGACCCTGTAATCTGAGTACACATTCCCTGCTTCTCCTTCAGAACTAGAATCATAGTAGTATTGTATATTTAATAGTCTATTGTCTCTGATAAATCGTAAACTTTCTGAGGGCAGAGACTTGTTTGCCACTGTCTCCCCAGTGCCTGGCATGGACAGTGACTGCCCACATAGTAGGTACTTAATAAATAAGGTGGAATGGATGAGTAAGTTAAATCTGCAAAATAATATGTAAATGCCTGTTTACAAAGTCAAGAGCCTAGGCCTTTTAGGAGTAGAATTATAGTACTGTTAGTTCCTGAAGGGGCCTAGGTCTTTCTGGATGGGGAAGAGGGCCCGTTATCTCCATGTTGACCTCCCTCCTCAGAGGGGGGCAGTTAAATCAGTGATTTGGACTCTGGTGAGACCAAGAAGCAGTCCCACTCCATCTTCTGGAAGACTGTCAACCTCAGCTGTTTTTTTTCCCTCAGGGCACGAAGCAGCCTTTGCTGCTTTCCTCTGCTGTCTCTGCAAGATTGGGGTGCTCCGGGTGGATGACCAAATAGCTATTGTCTTCAAGGTGTTCAATCGGTGAGGGAGAGGAGGGCAGGAGGGGTGGCTTCTGGGGTAGGGGATTGAGGGGGGTCTCTTTCCTCCTTGTTACCGTGAGACCAGGGACCGGGTGCTTGAGAATTCTCATGAGTGGCTGACGGTCTTCTCATCCCTGTGCTCATCAAACTCTGGCTTGTGGGTGGGGTTCTCAGACTCCTTCCAACAGGTTAAAATTCACGTCCAAGTAAAAACAAATGAAGCAAATGTCAAATACTGACTGCTGATGCTTATGTGGTGTTTACCATGTGCAGGCACCATTCTAAGCATTTTACTTATTAACTCATTTCATCCTCACAACTGCCCTATGAAGTAGCAAGTGTTATTTCCATTTTACAGGATGGAAAAACTGAGGTCACATAGCTAGCTGAGCCCGGCAGTCAGGCATTCACCTGCTGCCCCATATCACCCAGATCGCCTGCCAGGCAGCACAGGTGTGTGTCAGTCACCTGGAGACCTCTTCAAATACTGATTCCTGGCCCCACTCTGGCAATGATGATCAGTAGGCCTGTGGTGGAGCCCAGGGACCGGTGTGTTTAAAAGCTCCACAGGTGACTGATGCCCAGCGTCTGATGAAAACTGAAGTTTGGAACTGAAAGAACCTAGGAGATAATCTAATTTAACTCCCATCAACTTTCAGATGGATAAACAGATGTTAGAGAAGTTGAGGGTCCTGCCCAGGGTTTTTCAGGTTGTTGGGAGGGAGTTGATGGCACTAAAAGCCAGTCTCCCAGTTGGTGTTTTGTCCCTTTTCTAGGCCAAAAGAAGGTTTAGTGTATAAGAAAAAAAATAAAGCTACATTATTTTGAGAATACCAGCTGCTGTGTAACTTATACACATAGGTTTTAATTGAGATAGAGACCAGCTACACTTTTAAGCAGTTATTTCTGGCCTCCTTGTACTCCCAATGGCAGAAAGGTTGAGACTGTCTTTTTACTTTTTGCTTCCTTCCCTCTCTTCCCCCATCATCCTGTACAGGTACCTTGAGGTTATGCGGAAGCTCCAGAAGACATACAGGATGGAGCCAGCCGGCAGCCAGGGAGTGTGGGGCCTGGATGATTTCCAGTTTCTGCCCTTCATCTGGGGTAGTTCGCAGCTGATAGGTACTGAAGAGCCGCCTACCCCTCCTGTTCCCCCCCACCACCACCACCCAATGGTGCATTCTGTGTCCCTCCTCCCCTCCCTCCTTCCCTCTCTTCCTGCCCAGGGCAGACAGTGACAGCTTGTAAAGCAGGGCATTAGACCGGCTATTGACAGAGGCTGTTTGCTGTCGACCTTCTGCTGCGAGCCAGCGTGGCAGGCTGGGGGAGACGGAGGCAGAGCGCCATAGAGATAATGGAAAGTGACATGGGCTGGAGCAAGGGCGCTCACCTGGTGCATAATGGACTGCTGTAAAATGCGCCCCAGCTTCCGGCAGCAGCTGCGGGGTTTTATGTTGAAAATGAGGGGCTTTTTTGACTTGGTGACTAACGCCATCTGCTGTTATTATTGAGCTATGCACAAGGGGGCCCATCAGGGAGCTGCTGCCAAGTGCTGGGTGGTGGGCCCGCTTCCTGTGGGTCTGAGTCGGACCTGCTCTGGTGATTCCTCCCCACTTCAAAATATTTTTTCAGGCTTGGTCAGCTCATCCGGATCTACTGGTGGGTAGGGGTGGGGAGAGAATGTCTATTTGACATAGAATTAATTGCCTACAAAATAATATTAATAAACGACCATTTGTTGAGTACGCACTGTGCCAGGCACTGTTAAGTGCTTCAGGTAGATTATCTCCCCTAATCTTCTCAATGGCCCTGTGAAGAAAGGTCTTTGCCAGCATAAGACCAACTACCATTGAGTAACACTTACCTGTGCCAGGCACCATGCTAAGTGCTTTGCACATGGTAATTATTTTCGGGTAGTACTCAGCCACCCTGTGAGGGAGGGGCTGTCCTTATCCCCACTTCACAGATGAGGACACTGAGCCTCGAAGAGCTGAAGTCACACAGCTAATTAGAGGCAGAGCAGAGTTTATTATATTAGAATGCACACGAACAAGGCCATTTCTTGCTCCCATGAGGGGTTCGGTGTTGAGAGCATCAGGGTAGGGCTGCAGCCCTGGGGTGGGTGTTGACCATGGCTGGGCCGAGGGGCCCAGGAGATATGAGTGCCAGGTTCTTAACCCCAGGGCGCTTTGCTCTTCCCAGATCACCCGTATCTGGAACCCAGGCACTTTGTAGATGAGAAGGCCGTGAATGAGAACCACAAGGACTACATGTTCCTGGAGTGTATCCTGTTTATTACTGAGGTGAGGGGGAGGGGCTGAGGGAAGGCTCACGGCAGTCCCCGGGCTTAGATGATGTGAGGCTGGTGACGTTGGAGTGGGACAGAGGAGCCAGAGCTGCTGCCCAAAGATGACAGGGCTCACACTAGAAGGCAGGTTATTGAAAAGGATGCCTTGCTAGGCCTCTCCTGAAAGGTTTAGGCAGCTTCTCACCTTCCACAATCTCTTCCCCAAATTAGTGGTCTGGGGTTAACTGAATCCCACAGGACTCTTGAGCTGAGGGTCACAAGTCTGAGGAGGCTGAGTAGGTATTGTTGAGGGGGGCGTGGTCGGCATCTTTCCTGGGGCCCACAAGGTCTGTAGAGCTGAGTGCATGTGAATGTGTAGGATGAAACACTCAGAGGTGTTGAAGAGGCCTTCTGGAGTGGACCGCAGGACAGTTTTCTGCTGAAGGAACACACCAGGGGAGAAGCCTCGTTAAGCAGTTGTAGCTCCAAAGTTCTTCATGGTCAGCATTTGGCTCACGCCTCTGCCAAAAACTTCAGAGGCCAGAGGGAAATGACACGTTTTTCCAAGTTAGCAAATGGAGCCGGGACTGACGGCTGGACAGCCACCGCTTCATTCTCAGAGATCTGCTGCTTTCAGCAGTGTGGCAAGCCCGAGGTCCGAAGGACTGGGGCACAGCCTGGCTCACTGCCTTGAGAGCATGTGCTCTTGCCTCTGGAGTGGAGGGGTCTGTGAGGGTCCGCGGAGCCCTGGGAAATCCCAGGACGAACTGGAGGAGCAGGGTGGAAGAAGGGGTGCAGATTCTACGCTGGAGCTTGTGGGCATGTTAGGTAGGCGCGGGGCGCGACACTGCTTTGGCGCCCCCTGGTGGCTGGCCTAGCCCCTTGGTCCCTGTTCATAACACTAACAAGGAGGCAGCCCAGGCCGGGTCTTAGGGAATATGGCAGTTGATTTCAGGTTAAAATTTTGTATTTTGTTTGGTTGGTTATGCTAGTAAAAAGAACACACACACGCACACACACACAAAGGCTTTCCCAAAGTGTGGGACTCAGTTCTGTGCTAGAGGAAATCCTAAAGTGGCCACTAGGTGGCGTGAAAGGCACATTGAATTTTTAGTAATGTTTAATGGGGGAGAAGTATGAATATGGAGGTGGGGGCAGGACTTAAAAGAGTTTTTAGCTGTTCCAAATTCCCTCTGCAAGGCCAGATTTTCACTTTGGCTCTAGGGCATAGTGTTAAACACTGGATGTTAGGAGGGGGCGTGCCCCATGAGTTGAAGTGACTGTAGCAAACCCTCTTTTGCCCCGCTAGACAGCCTAGTGCCAGTTTGGCGTGGTTACTGGTTGCAGCACCCTGTGTGTTAGTTCTGCAGAGCTTGTGTCTGGGCTGCTCTCGTCCCCCAGCCCCTTCCATTGCGTTTTGCAGCCCTTGTGGGTGTGAGCTGGCCTGGCTCACCCTGACAAAGGGTCGAAGGCTTGACACTGGCAGAGCACCTGGCGGCCTGCATGGAGTTCTGTGTGCTTTGCTCAGGAAGAAGGCAGTGTTCCTCTGGAGACCTGGGAATTACTATGGGCTGGTGCAGCTAGGAGATTAAACAAAACAACCAAAAGTTGGAAATGGTACCCAACTTCCCCTCCTGGGTCTCACATGGGGACCTGCCCTGGTAGCCCTGGGCATCCTGGATGAGGGACCCCACCTTGTGGGGGCTTCTGCTGTCTCAGGAAATGCAGCCCTGGCGCCTTTAAGAGCCCAGGGCCGGCAGGAAAAGAATTTCAGTTTCAATCTGGCTTCTAAATTTGGAGTTTTGGGAAGGGAGGGATCAGATTTCAGCTGGAAGGGAAGGAGCTGACAGGAAGGCGCTGTGCAGAGCCTCCCCCATCCCCCGCCCCATCCCCCCTCAGTTACTGACAGAGGAACCATTTACAAAAGGCCGATTCTCTTGGGAGTGGAGAGGCAGGAACGCAGCGTCTGTGAGTAATTTCCTGCTCAATATGGCTGCTCTGACTCACACGAATCCCCTGGGGTCACTGCGGGACTGCAGCTTGCTTGCTCGTTCTCGCTCTTTCTTTTCTCCCTTTGTGGCTAGAATGAGCTAATTTTTTTTGTCTTCTTGCCCCTGATTCCTTTTTTCCCCACGTCTGTTTTTCTTTCCCAGAGTTACACAGTCTCCTTCTGAAGGACTTAGGGAGATCTTGAGACACTGAAGGCCTCAGGATACAGCCCCACTTGAGAACCAGCACCTCTGGCCCTTCCGCTGGTGGGGTCCTAAGGCCACTGGGGCTCTGGAGCACGGGCCTCACCCTGGCTCTTGCAGCAGGCCAGAGGCCTTTTGGGAACCCTTTCCTGTGCCCCTAGTTAGCGAGGCAGGCCCAAGGACTGTCGCCGCTGGTTGCCTCTGCTCTGAGCCCTTGCCGAGCAGACCCCTAGAGCTGCTGCAGTTGGGCAAAGCAGCAGGGGTGCCTCCCAGGTGGTTTGCCTACCGGGCCTTCTCCAAAGAGTGAAGCTGGTGACACAGTTCCAATGATCCCTAAGCTTCTAGGGGGGTGGGCTGTAGCCTGGTCCTTTCCCTGGGAGCAGAGAGCTGGGGGAGGGGCAAGGCAAGGGGAAGGGTAGTGAGGGAGGGGCTGGGGAGTTTGGGGGTGGAGCCTGATTGAGTAGAACAAAGCTTGATGAAGGCCAAGACTTGTAGGCTCTGTGTGCCAGTTAGCCATCCTGGAGGAAGGAACCTTGGCTAGAGATGAGGGGAAAGCATTCTGGTGAAAGGGAATGACCCCAGAAAAACCCTGCTGAGAGCGGGGTGCTTTTTTCTCTGGTGCTGTGGACTGGGCTGTCTTCACTGCTGGAAAGCCTGGAAGAAGACCTTGCTATAGAACCCAGAGACAGGCTTCTTGGGAACTTGGGGTGGGGGGGAGGGGCAAAATGGTGGCTTTTTTAGACTTAAACCTTAAAGTTTCTTAAAGAGTTGCCCTGACTGGAGAAGATGAGAACCCTGTAGGTATAGGTCAGCCAGGCAGTGGGCCATAGCTGAAGGATAGGGGTTATGTGCCACTGAGGGCCCCTTATAATTATGATTTCCCAACATGGGAGAGAGCTTGGCTTATCCTTCCTCTTCGGAACCTCTCTTCCTCAGCTCCTCCCATCTCCACATAGCCTCTTCTGGAACTTTCTACCCATGCGGGGTCCAAGTTACTACTTCCTTGCCAGATTCAACCCCTTTGCTTTTCAAAGTCTTTCTTCCAAGGCTTGGGGCTCAGGGTGCTGAACCCTGTTCCCCCAGCATAAATGCTGCCCACAATGGGAGTGTGTTGAGGGGATTAGGATCTGTTTGGTCAATAAATACACATGTCTGGCTTGGTGGTGTCTGAGAGATGCACTCAGGCACACGAGCCTCCCCGTCTCAGTGCTGTGGTTTCTGATGTCATGGGACCTTTGCTGGGCTTGCTGCAGAAGTTTTCTTTCCTTTCCCGGAGGGTCAGACTCTTTCAGCAAGAGGAGGGACTAGGAATGGAGCTGTCCTCGCCCCTGCCTGCTGTTTGCTGCTGTGGTTGCCATCCTGTCCCCACCTCCTGGCTGGGCCAGGCTGATTTTCTGAACAGACCTTCCTCCCCAGTCTGCTGTGGGTGCCCCCTACCACGCAGCTGGCCCCTCCTTGTTTCCCTCCCTCCCTCTGCCTGCCATGCAGAGAGCATTCAGATGCCTGGGTTTGAGTCTTACCCACCTTGACCGTCCCCCACACCGGCCCCTCCTGCTGCTCTTCCAGCTCTCCCATGGCAGGTGCAGACCCAGTGCCTGTGGCTGAGCCTGACCTTGGGCAGGTGGGGAGGGGTGGCCGGGCAGGCTCGGGGCCATGCTGCTGTGCTGTTTGTCTGAATGGGGGTGAGTCACAGTGCTGGAGAGGCATGCTGTGGCTCCAGGGGAGTTGGTGGTACCTGTACCAGGAGCTCAAATGGAAATTTTATTACCCTGTGGCTGCTGGATTTGGTGGGAGGTGGGAATTGGTCCCCTTTTTCTGCCTGTGGGAGAAAGAGGGGTGACTAAGGGGATGGGCAAGGGAGGTTATGTTTTCCCAGTGGGCCTTCCAGGCACCAGTGTGTGTCTGTGTGCGTGCACACAGGCAGGTGCTGTGGCCTGGTCGGTCCCTAAGCTCATGTGTGACCATGCTTCAGGGGAGCCAGGGACACGTTTCCAGGCTGCTCCCCTCCAGCTTGTGGGCTTTTTTTTCCAGATGAAGACGGGCCCCTTTGCAGAGCACTCCAACCAGCTGTGGAACATCAGTGCTGTCCCCTCCTGGTCCAAAGTGAACCAGGGTCTCATCCGCATGTATAAGGCTGAGGTGAGTGGGGGCTGGCCGGACCTTCAGCTGCCTATTGGCTGGCACGCCTGCCCCTGCCGCCACACCAGGAACTGGGGCTGGAAACAAAGCAGAAGGTGTGGCTCTTGGGGCCCTATTCGCCTGCTCCCAGTGTTTTGCTCTGAATCTTAGGCCAGCCCCTCTGATGCTTGGGACCCCAGAATCTCCCATCTGTGGAATGGGCTGTTGAAAAAGCTGTGAACTGAAGTCCAGCCCTGCTCAGTGACCTGGGGCAAGACCCTGCTGCTTGGGGGGCCACCGTTCCCACCTGTCAAATGACTACAGGCCCCTGCGCTCAGGCCATCTCTGAGCCTGTCTCTCCCGTGGGGGCACAAAACAAAGGTGTTGCTTGACAGAGGCATCAGCCAAAGTGCTGCTTCTCAGTCCTTAGGCGGGCAATCCTTAGGCGGGCAGGCAGGAGGTTTGGTTTGGAGGCCCAAGTGGCATTTTTAGTGAGCTTTTCAGGTGATTTTGATGCAGGTGGCCCTCCCTGCTCTGAAATCTAAAGAGGCAGAGAGGGCAGGGAGAGGTTGTGGTTTCCTGGAGCGCCCCCTGCTGGGAGGTGACTGCCCTTGGGCTCCTGAGGCTCTTCTCACCTTCTCTCCTCCTTTCTCCCAGCGAGGAGGGGCTTTTTCTCTTGTGAGTGGGGAGGAGACATTTTCTTTTCACCCTTTCCCTTCCACTAGCTCCTCCTTTATCTTGGGCAGACCAGTCCTGGGGCTGCTTGACTCTTGGCTGGGGAAAAGCTTGGGTGTGAAGTCCCCTGCCTAAAAGAGAGTAGACAGACCCCCAAAGTCCTCTCCCCTCAGGCTAGCCCTGGCAGCTAGCTCATGGTATCAGGTACTGTCCCTTAGATGCCCTGGCTCGACCCTTGACCATCCACTGTCTTCTGGGAGGGAGGTGCCCCTGGTCTGCTCTGCTAGACCTCGGATCTCATGTACGGAGGCAGTGGAGCCGGGAGAAAAAGGTGTTAGAGGGGGCGCCCAAGGTTTGGTAGCACAAATACTTTCAGTTGAGCCAGTGCCCTCTGCATGGCCCTGAAGGGGTTAACAGCTGTGCTAGAACTGACCAGGTCTGGCCCTCTCTCTCCCTTCCGCTCTCCCTCCCCCCAGTCCCCTTCCTCTGGACTTCACATCCTGTGTTTAGGTTCCAACCCACATACCTCTCTAATCTGAGAGGCGTCGCTTGCTGGGGCTGTGCAGGCTCCTTCCGGCTGCAGCCTGTCCGGTGCTCCACTCTGGCTCTGCCTGGCTGGACAGCACTGGGTCACTGCCCTCTGGGTGTCCTTTTCCTGACACCCCCACCTTGCCCTGTCCCACAGTGGGTGCGAGGGTGAATTCTGTCGCCCTGCTTAGCTCTCCCCACTGCTGGGATAGTCTGTAACACTTGAGAGGTGCATGGCTCCCCTCCAGCCTGCTACTCCCACCCCCTGGTATATCCAGGGCCCACCTCTGCGGTTGTCTTTTCCTGCTTGGGATCTTAAATGCTATCCTTTCTGCAGGTCTCTTAGTTGAGTGACTGAAGTTATCTTGATGTAGGCTCTCTATGGACAGGACAAGAGATCCTGCCCCTCTTCCCCTACTTCCCCACACTTTCCAGAGGCAGAAGAGCTCCAGGCTGACAGAGGGTGGGGGAGGAGCAAATTAAATTCGAAATGATGATGGTGCAGCAAGAACGCAAGAACAGAGCTGTCTGCCGTGTAACAGTCAGTTACAATTGGAGAGAGGGTGAAAACATCTGTGGGTGTTGACCATAAGGAGGACAGCTATCAAAAACTACTGCCAACTCTGGACAAGACAGAGGGTGCACTGGTGGATGGATAACACAGCAACTATCCTGAAATCAGGAACCAGCTCTGGGGGCGCTCTGCCTGTGCACACGGGTAGGGGGCCTTCAGCCTCCCCGAGCCTATGTGCAGCCAGACTTTGTCGTGGGATGGCGCTGTGACTCACTAACCGTAGTTATGAACATCAGCTTTTGTAATGGTCAGTGCTCATTCATGAGTTACTAGCAAGTAGCCCTGAGTCTGGTCTGTGGTGGTTCGTGGAATTATATGTTCCTTCACGAGAAGTATCAAGCGGAGGACTTGCTTTTTCAGACCAGTTCTCAGTCCATGTGGAGGACCTTAGAGGCCCATCAGTCTTGAAGTCTAGAAGGGGGTTAGCAAGGCCAGGGCCCACCAGCCAGTTGGCCTCCCTGAGCTGCAACAGAGGCCTGGCCAGGCCCTGGCATTAGGTGCCCTTCCTCAGGTGGCCCAATGGTTTGGGACTGTCTGTACCTCCAAGGTACCTGTCCAGGCCTTTTTGAACTAAAGCACCAAATGCGTTCAAGGGGTCTTGTGTGGCAGCAGTGTTGTCTTCCCTGAGGGCTGTCACTGCTGGCGCTACCTTCAGAAGGGCCTTGTCAGGACCCGGAGAGCCGCTTCTCCACCTTGAGTCATCGAGACATCAAAGAGCCTCTGGTCCTAGCCTCCTGGCCTGGGCCTCCAGCTGGAAGGCCTATAAGAGGTCAAGCTGAAGCCGTTGCTCTGCCCGGGCGTGCAGGGTGGGACCTCCAGGGCCCAGTTGGCTGGTCTGGACCTTACTGGGATAGAGCCCTGACCAGAGAGGCACCTGTCTGCTCTTGCCCTGGAGCCATAGACTTCTTTGCTCCAAGAAATCTCACCCAGCTCCTTGCCTCTCCTGTGGCCCTGGGGAAGCCTTTTGGGGGGCTCCTTGGCATCATCCCAGAAGAGAGGCCCTGTGGCTATAGTGGAGTGATCATCTGCCTCTGCCCGCTCCCCCTAAGCTTCTTGCCTTTGCAGATTCTCTTGAATGAGAGCCAGAAGCAGGCTGACCTTTGACCCTTACTGGAATTCCAGGGCCCTGGGGGGCCCCCTTTTCCAAACTCCCACCACTTCCGTGATGACATAAGCACAATGGCAGCTGACTTTGCCTCTGGCCCAGCTCTGCTGCTGCTCCTCCCCTCAGGGACCACCCTGGCTGCCTGCTCCCCACTTTCTCTGGCCCAAGACCTAGAGCCTGGCTGTGGCCCTGGCCTGCTCCCACATTGCAGCTTAGACTCCTGCTCTTCTGCTGCACAAAAAGGATTTCCTTTTTCCCTACTCTCCTCTTGGTCCACTTTTGGGCCATGTGAACCACCCCCTCCCCCGACTCCCAAAGCTGGCCAAGACCTCCTTGCCCTGTGTGCCTCTCTCTTCTTGTTTCTGCAGCTAGTTGTTGAGGTGAAGGAACCTGGGCTCAGTCATGGCACCCCTTGGCCCTTCTAAGTTAATTAGAGGTTGAGACCCCAGCCACACAATGAGGCCTTCCTCTCGTCTGGAGGCCAGCAGTCTTGTTCCACCCCAGCCATGAGGTGCTCAGCATATTCTAATTGCTTCTGTGGCCAGAGGTGTGGGAGGAGGCCCTGGGCCAGCCTGGCAGATCCCCACATGCCCGGTGCTGCTGTGTGTTGAGATGTAGCCAGTGACCAGAGCCTACAGTAGGCACAGCTGGGCAGGGCACAGGCAGGCTGGGGCCTGGAGCCCGACTCTTCCCTGCACTGTGCAGTGCTGAAGCAGTGCTCAGGCTGGAGGGGCGCTGGCCTGAACTTTGTGCTGGCTGTGGACCAGGCCAGCTTCTGGGTAGACCCTCCTGATTTCTTCTTCTCCCCTCCTCTGTCAGACCCTGGGGCCAAGGCCTAGCTGGGCTGGGGTCAGGGAATATGGCCAGGCCCCTGCTCAGCCAGGTCCCTGCTCAGTGCTCTTTTCTCCTGCCCCATGCACAAGGCTGCTGGGAATTGCCCAGGGGGTGAGGGGACCTCAGCTGGTTGTTATTGTCTCTCTCTGAGGTGCCAAGATGCCTTTTTTTCAGTTCAGAGAACTGAAAATCTGAGAAAATGGGCCTTGGCCCCTTCTCAGACTTATGTGCAAATGTCCCCAAGTGTTGTCTCCAGGGGCTGGGACCTTGGCTAGGGTGTTCCCATATGATTTGGGAGGGTCCTTTCTTTTTCTAAATTTTATTTATTTTGTTGTTGAGAATATAAACAGCAAAACATACATCAATATAACAGTGTCTACATGTACAATTCAGGAACACTGATTACATTCTTTGAGTTATGCAACCATTCTCACCCTCCTTTTCTGAGTTGTTCCTCCCTCATCAACATAAACTCATTGCCCCCTAAGATTCCTATCTAATCTTTCAAGAGCTTCTCTTGTCAATTTGATCCCATGTAGATAATTCTTAAAAAAGCATAATGCTCATTTTTTTTTTTTTTTTTACTAGTTAAGCTAAACTACTGTTTGGTTTTAAGAAGACTCCAGGGGATATTTTTGTTTTAAGGTTTAAAGATTATTTCAGGGCAAAAGTTTCAGGGGTTCATCTACCCTCCATGGCTCCAGGAAGTCTGGAGTCCATGAGAATTCAAAATTCTGTTCTACATTTTCCCCCCTTTGATCAGGATTCTTCTATGGAGTCTTTGATCAAAATGTTTGGTAACGGTAGCTGGGCACCATCCAGTTCTTTTGGTCTCATGGCAAAGGAGTCAGTTGTTCATGGAGGCAATTAGCTACACATTCTATTCCCTCCTCCTATTCCTGACTCTCCTTAGTCCTCTGTTGCTCCAGGTAAATAGAGACTAATTGTTATGCCTTGGATGTCAGCTTGCAAGCTTTTAAGACCCCAGGCACTATACAACAAACTAGGAGACAGAACAGAAGCACTAAACACTATATTAGGGCAATTAACTGGGATGTCCCATGAAACCATAACCCTAAACCTTCAAGCTAAGGAACCAAATCCCATGCGGTGTTTGGTTGTACTTAAGCAGCTTCAGTAGCTACTCTTTTGTTGTTATTGTAAATATATCTATCACACAACTTTTGCCAATTTACCTTGTACAGATATGTAACTTACTAACGACAATTAAAAAAATAATTGGCTATGGAATCTTACCCTTAATCAGTGTAATTTTTCCATCACCGTTAACCTCCCTTTTCTCCCTCCCTCCCACCCCTGGTAGCCGCTAATAAACTTTGGTCTCTATACTTTTGCCTTTTCTTGCCTTTTTATGTAAGTGAGGTCATACAATATTTGTACTTTTGTGATTAGCTTATTTCACAAGGCATAATGTCTTCAAGCTGCATCCATACTGTAGCATATATCAATATTTCATTTCTCTTGCTGGCTGAGTAGTATTCTGTTGTATGTGTGTATCACATTTTGTTTATCTATTCATCTGTTGATAGGCATTTAGGTTGTTTCCACTTTTTGACTATTGTGAATAGTGCTACAATAAACATTGGTGTACAAGTCTCTTTTTGAGTCTCTGCCTTCAAGTCTTTTGAGTATATACCTAGCAGTGGAATTGCTGGGTCATATGGTAGTTCTATTTTTACTTTTTTGAGGAACTGGCACACTGTTTTCCACAATGGCTGTACCATTTTACATTCCTACCAGCAATGGATAAGGGTTCCAATTTTCCCACATCCTTGCCAACATTTGTTATTTTCTGTTTTTTTTTTTTTTTAAATCTTGGCCATCCTAGTGGGAGTGAAATGGTATCTCATTGTAGTTTTGATTTGCATCTCTCTGATGGCTAATGAGGAAACCCTGGTGGTGTAGTGGTTAAGAGCTACAGCTGCTAACCAGATGGTCGGCAGTTCAAATCTACCAGGCGCTGCTTGGAAACTGTGGGGCAGTTCTACTCTGTCCTGTAGGGCCGCTATGAATCGGAATCGACTCAACGGCAGCGGGTTTGGATAGCTAATGAACATCTTTTCATGTGTCTAGTGGACATTTAAATGTCCTCTTTGGTGAAATGTCTATTCAAGTCCTTTGCCCATTTTATGATTGGGTTGTCTTTTGTCAAGTTGTCAAAGTTTTATATTTATATTGGTTTTTAGATTCTTATCAGATAGATGGTTTTCAGAGATATTAGATATTCTTCCAGTCAGTAGCTTATCTTTTCACTTTTGTGGTAAAGCCTTTTGATGAACAGAAGTTCTTAATTTTTATGAGGTCTCATTTGTTTATATTGTATTTTGCTGTTTGTGCTTTTGTTATTATACTAGATAATCCATTATTAAAAGTTAGGCCTGACAGCATCGCCCGTGCATTTTCTTCTAAGAATTTTATGGTTTTAGTTTGCATATTTAGGTCCTTAATCCATTTTTTGTTTGTTTTTGTATATGGTGTGAGGCATGAGTCCTGTTTCATTTTTCTGCATGTGGAAATCCAGTTTTCCCAGCATCATTTATTGAAGAGGCTTTTCTTTCCCCATTGAATGGATTTAGCACCCTTGTCAAAAATCAGTTGACCATAGATATATGGGTTTATTTATGAACTCTCAATTCTATTCCATTGGTGGGAGGGTTCTTTTTGCTTTTGGTCCCCAACTTCTCCCCTTGGACCATTCTCCCCCTGGGCCAAGTGACATCACTTGGCTGCCTCTCTTCTTGGCTTTTGCTTGTGGGGTTGGGCTGCCTTTCTCTCTCTCTCTCTCTCTCTCTCTCTCTCTCACATTACTTGATTGGTCTGGTTGTGGTAGAGTCAGGGTTTTTGGGTGGGAACAGTGACCAGGGACTGGAGGAGCCCTGTGTCAAGTAGGGAGCCTTGCCTTTCCCTGAAGGCCTGGAGGCCGCTCCTGGTCCCTGGATGGACCCCTCCTGGGAATGACTCTACCTCACTAGTTTGAGCCTTCAGAGTTGCCCAGGGGTCACCTTGAGGCACAAGAGGCTGCTGTGGGGCCGACCTGCTGCGCAGCCCTCACTTCCGCTCTTCCTCTTCCTGCAGTGTCTGGAGAAGTTTCCCGTGATCCAGCACTTCAAGTTCGGGAGCCTGCTGCCCATCCAGCCAGTCACATCGTGCTAGGAGGCCCTGAGCCACCCAGGCTGCCCTCCCTACCCAGCTGCGGCCCCCTCCCCACTCCTCCCCTTTGTTCTTTCTGTTTGACTGTTTACTGGGGTGGGCTGGTAAGCGTGGGGTAGAGGGAGAGCATAAGGCTGAAGGACCCAAGTTAGGAGAAGTGACCAAAGTGTGGCCAGTTTCCTGCCACCCCCTGCCCCATGGCAGAGGGGCAGGAGGAGACGGGCTGGGCCTCCCCCTCCTGTGTCTGTCCCTCTTTTCCTCCCTTCTCTCCTGTCCAGCCCCATTTTGAGACCTGGGGCTGTCCTGTGCCACTGTGGGGGAGGTACTATTTTGCCATTTCCACTGGTTTCCCTCCCCGTCTCCTGTTGCCTTTCTGAGGGTTGGAGCAGTTGCTCTCCACAGGGTGGGTCAATCTCCTGAGCCCCTGGTCTCCCATATTCAGGTGGGTGCCTGGGTGCTCTGAGGGCTGGAGGCTGGGGCCAGTGGCCAGCCAGTTCAGGGTGGGGTTGGGGAGGGAGGAAGGGAGAAGCCTGGGCTGTTCTGGCTAGTGACCCCCTAGCTCCTCCCTTCCTGGCTCCCCCTGGGCCCCAGGAGATGTGTCCAGAGCCTCATCCTGGCTCTGCTGTTCTTTGGCCCTTGACTTCATAGTCACACCTGTCCCCCTCCCGAAGGGGTAGCCTAGCTATGGGACTGCCCTTTGGGGGCACTGGGCTCCTGGGAGGGCTCAGGCAGGGTTTGTCCCCCTCCCTCACCAGTTTTCCATGCCTGGAAGGGGGTGGCAGAGACTCTGGGAGGGGCTTGGGGCCAGTTGTCTGTGTGGAGAACCTGGATTCCTTGTGGTGGCTATACTTTTGGACGCTTCTGCTGCCTCCTCACTGCTTCTTGCTTTTCCTCCCGAGGCCCCTTGGCCCTGCTTCTCTCCTCCCCTGGGTGGTGAGTGGGCCGCAGCAGGAAGGGCTTAGAAAGCAGCAGCTCCACTCCATGTTCTCCCACCTGCTTGGGATTCGCCATGGGCTTTGTGGGATGAGGTAAGCGATGGCTCCCCAGCCTGGGCATTGGCTGTGAGGATGGGCAGGGGCTGGGCTGGCTGGGCCTACCCCTAGGGGTGAGGGATGATACAGCAGCCTGCCAGTTCCAGAGTTTTCTTCTAGGGCTGTTCTGTGCCTGGCTCTTGAAGACTCTCATATGCCCAAGCCCAGGCCTGCCTCTCTCCACTACCCTCTGCCCATATCTGGGTCCCACATACCCTTTGGGGAGAGGGAGCACCTGAGAAGCACAACAGAGGGCTTGACCCTCAGGTCTAGGCAGACGATCTGGGCCGAGGCTAAGGCAGGAGCCGCAGAGTCACAGAAATAAAAGTTTTCCCAGGAGACGCCCAGCGCCTGCCTCCCTCCCATGGTCCAGACCACCACCCTCCCGGCACCTCCCTGCCCTGTGCCAGTGCCCCCTACCCCCCAGCCCCTTGCGCCTTCATTGCTGTTGGGATTAAAGCCTCTGTTTTGCACCTGTCACCTGTGTGAGGTCTGTCTTTTCATGCCACATACTTGTTCCATCTCCAGACTGTTTGTCCCCCATCAGATCCCCTTCCCTTGGGCCATGGTGTCTGGGGCTTGAGCTGTTTCAGTTAGGGGCTGGATTGAGCCTTCCCTGGGCAGTGGGAAGACACCTGACTGAATGTGTAACAGTTGCCCAGGCAGAGACCTAGGCTCAGATCCTGCCTTCCCCAAGCCCATACCCCATCTGCAAGGTCTTGCGTGAGTTAACTGAATCTCTGAGCCTCAGCTTCCTCATCTGTAAAATGGGGCCAATCACAGGGTGGTTGCCAGGAGTGGGTGAAGGATGTGACGTCCTCAGCCCAGGGCCTGGTGCAGAGCGCATGCCCCCATGGTTGCTGTGGCTGTTCTTGGTGAGGGCAGCCCCTCTGGACTCCTTGGATCTGTCCCAAGGGAGCCCTGAGTAGAGACACTGGGGGAGCCTTTGAACTGAACCTGGCAGTGAAATGTGCATCTGTGGTTTTTACAGAGTGGCCCTCCAATTTCCTGCTCCCCCACCCCTTCTGTCCTTGTCATGCTGGAGTTGGGAGTCTCTGGGGCTGCGGTGTCCCAAGACTTCCTTAGGCTCCCCTCTTCCCTGTCTTCAGGACGAGTCTCCTCCCCAGAGAACAAGAACCCTAGGCCTCTCTCCTGGCCTCAGTCCCAGGTCGGCTGCACCTTTTCCGGGGGAGCCTGGTGGCCGAGAGCTTTGCCTCTGGAGTCAGGCTGAGCTGGGTTCAAACACAAGACCTGCCACTTACTAACTAGGAGACCCTGATAGTTGACTTCATCTCTTCGAGCCTCAGCTTTGTGATCTACAAAATGGGTGTAATAATGCTTACATCATGAATCATGAGGATTCATTCATTCCACAAACACTAGGTGCATATTCTCCATTCTAGTGTGGATGACAGGAGTAAACCCATAAGTAAGGTGAGGTGAGGTGTAGTATGAAGAAGAAAACAGCAATTAAGTAGAGAAGGCAGGAGTGGAGTGGGGTGTTAACTTGAACTACAGTGGTCAGGAAAGATACCTTGGAGGAGGGACATGTTAGGTGAGACCCAAACGAGGAGGAGGAGCCTCCAGTAGAACTGCAGGCAGAGGGAGGGGGGTGGGTGTGGGCTCAGTACAGGTCCAGCTAGGAGCGGCTGTCTGGAGCCACAGTGCGATAGGAGGTGAGGTCAAAGAGGCTAGGCTCCAAGGTGGTGGGGCGTTATGGTCCCTGTTGAGGAGATTGGAGTTTAGAGTACAGGTAGTCGCAACTTATGACGAGGTTCCGTTCCGACAACTCCGTCGTAAGTAGATTCTGATGTAACTTGAGTACCTCATTTTTTTGTGTTTTTAGTTTTCATTATTATTGCCTTTTATTATCAATATCTTTATAAATCATAACACTGAACATCTTAGAATGCTAACATCAGCAAATTACACGCTGCAGCATTATATGTAGTACATACTACAATAACATGTACACAACTCCTCAAAAAAACAGGGTAAGTGTGGTTTGCGGTAACTTGAATACATCATAAGTCGACTACCTGTATTTCATGGGAGGCTACTGGAGGGTTTTCACCAGACCAAAGTGCCTGGATCACTCTGGCTGCTGTGTGAGAAGGGCCAGGGCTGGGTGGGGCAAGAGCTCGGGCGGTTACATTTGGGAGGCTGTTGCTGTGGTTGGGTGAGAGGTTGGTGGCACAGCTTAGGGTCCAGCGTGGAGGTGGTGAGAAGTGGTCAGATTTTGGCTGTATTTGGGGGTATTGCTGACAGGAAGGGAAGTGTGAGAGTGAAAAGCAGCCAAGAACAGCCCCTGATTCTTAGCTTGTGTTTCTTGAAGCCATTTACTGAGGAAAGGGGAAGGCTGAGGCACTGTGAATTTGCTGTTGGTTGAGGGATGCCTGTTACCCTTTAAGAGGAGATGTGGCAGAAGCAGTTGGATATGCTAATCTAGAGCCAGGAAGGGAGTGATCAGCATAATGACTGGGTGTAGAGCCACCAAGGAGCCCTGGTGGCTCAGTGGCTCAGCACTCGGCTGCTAATTGAAAGGTTGGCGGTTCGAACCCACCAGCTGCTCCATGGGAAAAAGATGCGGCAGTCTGTTTTCATAAAGATCTATAGCCTTGGAAACCGTATGGTGTACTTCTTTTCTGTCCTATAAGATCACTATGAGTTGGAATCTACTCGATGACAGTCGGTTTGGTTTTTGGTAGGTCCACCAGACCAAGAGACCTCTAAGGGAGCGAGTTTGGGTGCAGGAGGGTCAGGCTGAGTTCCAGGGCAAAGGAGGAGGACAGACCTGCAGGGGAGCCTATGGGGCAGTGGCCGGTGAGGTTGAGGCCAGGGAGACGCAAGGTCAGAGTCCTGGAAGCAGTGGTGACCTGCTGGGCATATGACTAACAGGATAGAGAATTGGCCCTGGGTCTCCGTGTCCTTGCTCAGGGCCACCTCAGTGGAGTGATGGGATGGGGTGGGGAGCATGAGAAAGGCTCTGTGGAGGAGGTGGCATTTGGATAATGGGTGCGGATGAGGGACACTCCAGGTGGGGGCCAATTGCAAAGCTAGAGACGCAAGTCACAGCTGGCCTATGGTGGGCTTTGAGCACCACACTCTGGAGGAGTTTGAAACCTTGTAACAGACTCCCCTAGTGCTTTCCCATCTCCTTCACACTTGACACAACCACATTTGATCATTTGCAAAATTATGTCCTGCTAGGACAGGGACTAGCTGTCTTGCTCACTGTGTCTTCCTGGGGTCCAGCAGAGACTGGCACACAGAAGGCACCCAGTAAATGTTGAATCACTGAGTCCATAGGGCGTCCATGGGGGAGCTGTGGAAGACCAGGGAAGATACTTAACTGGCGCCTCTGTGTGTGTGAGTGTGAGGATGGGACAGAGCCAGACTGGGATCAAGGAACCTCATGGGCTGCTGTCTGGTGCGATGCTGGGAGCTGGGTCGCCACCCAGGTAAGAGGTATTGAAGGCCCTCTGCAGGGCAGAGAGAGGCCCTGGCCTGGGAAGGGGAAGATGGAGATAGAATTTGGTGTTGAGGAAGAGGGATGAGTTCTGACCCTGGGGCAGATTCTAGCATGGCCTATCCTGATGAAATGCTGGAGTACTTTAAACATAAACATCCAACAGTTGGGGAATGTTGGAGGATGGATGGAGCAGCTGTACAATTGGCTATCCTTGCATCCATTAACACAGTGTTTGTCTGTTTATTCTTATGGAAAGACGCTTATGGCATGTTGTTAAGTGGGGAAGTGCAACCACTTTTTGTCAAAAAGCAAAAATCTACATCATTGACCCATCTGTCTCTCTACATAGAAAAGGGCTGGAAGGCTGTATATCCAGGTATTAAAGTGCTTATCTTGGGGTAGAGGGGATGTGAGGGTTTTTGGAAAATGCTTACTGCTTTTTCTGCTTGCAGATGATAACATGATAGTTACGTGAATGTAAGTGTTACTTAACTACAAAAGAAAGAGAAAGTGATTATGGGTAAATATTAACTTTGTTTTTCTTTTTTTGTATTTGATTTTTAAATCTTTCCACAATTTCTACATATTAGTTTTGTAACAAGGAGGAAAAAAAAAAAGGAAATGAATTAAAATTGTTTTCCCCAAAGAGCCCTGGAAGAGAAGGCTTGTCCCTCCAGGCAGGAGGAAGGGCAGAGTTGGGGAGTTGATCAAGATATCAAGGTAAAGGGTGGGGAGTTGAGTTCTGCGCAAATGGTTTGGCCCAGAGCCTGCCTGAGAGTGATGCCGCCACAGAGGAGGCGGCTGGTGGGGCTGGGGCTTTGGAGTGGAGAGCAGCTGTTGAGAGGAGAGTGATGAGGAGTCTGGCAAGGACCAGGCTTAACCCAGCAAGGGGAGGCAGCTGGGATTCCTCATGGAGCCTTTGGACTAGGGTGAGCCAGCGTCCCCCCAGTTGGGCAACTATGGCCTCCCTGGCCTGGCAGTGACCTCTGAGACCTCGCCCTACTCCTGGCACCCTGGCAGACATGAGTTGGATACAGAATTCAAGCCTAGAGTTGAGGCACACTTTCTTCTGACTGTGGCCTGGGCTGGGGAGTGATGGTTATAAACCAAGGAACAAATGGTTCCATTTTTTCTCCCAATGCTTTGGATGCTGCTGGAGGCATTTTCCCGAGTCCCAGCAAAGGACAGAGTCCCTGGTGGGTCCAACTTCATCCACCATCCTTCCCTGAGCAGGTGGCATTGAGGGCACTATGCCCAGTGCCAGGGACACCCAGAACATCACAAGATCTCTGGGGAACATGATAGAGGAAAGGGTGTGGACTCAGAAATCCAGCAGACCTGTGTGGTCTTCTGCTTCCCCTCTCTGAGCCTCAGCTCACTTATTTTACCTGTGGATGGAAATGCAGGCCTGCGATGGTGAGGTAGCATCCTTGGTGGCTGGCCCGAGGTTGGAGCCCTACAAGCAAGAAGAAGCAAGAGGTGGCATCCCTTCCCACAGGGCAGCAGGCCAGTGGTCCCTGGTGTCAATGCTCTCCCGTCTGCCTGTGGCCACTGTTTTGGAACTCTTAGGACACTCTCTAGCTGGACCTTTGCTGACCTCTAACTCAGTCTCTTGTTCTGTGTGGGGACAAACTCCTTTTCCCTCCTTATTTGCTTGAGACTAGGTTGGGGCTTTTCAAAAGGGACCCTGCAAAGTCACACAAAGCACAGATGCCTTAGATAACTGGAGTCCAGCCACAGGTAGGATTGGCAGGTTGGGTGGCCACAGGCCAGACCAGACTACTCAGACTTTGGCTTGAGGAGAATTCTGCTGCCTGGGTTTATGGGCTCCACAGACCCTTCCAGAGATAGCTCCCTAATATCTGCAAGGGGTGGAGAGTGTAGTAGTCAAAGTGTGTGTGGCCTCTGGAGGCAGCTCTTAGATGCTTCCTGCTGTGTGACCTTCAGCTAATCAACCTCTGTGATCTTCAGTTTCCTCATGTATAAATTGGGGATAC